ACTCCCCTCCTGTCCTCTAACCTTCCTTTTCCTCTCAATCTGTTCCCCCTTTGCGCCCATCCACACCTACAAGGCCATACCCCCACCTGCTCTCTTTTTTGACAACAGGGTGGAGCTCGTTCCCAGGGCAAGCTCTGCTAAACCCAATTTCGTCCCTGTCCTCTAACCTTCCTTTTCCTCTCAATCTGTTCCCCCTTTGCGCCCATCCACACCTACAAGGCCATACCCCACCTGCTCTCTTTTTTGACAACAGGGTGGAGCTCGTTCCCAGGGCAAGCTCTGCTAAACCCAATTTCGTCCCTAGTGAATTCCTTGCCTCCTTGCTGTTGCCAATGTCTTAACAGCCTCCTCTGAGATGACACCCTTTGTTTCATAAATTCAACCTCTTCCCTCTCTCCAGGTGCTGGGTGATGTCCACTGGGCTGATAAGAGTGAGTTCTCTGAACACTGTGCCCAAGGACTCTTGGGTCCAGTAGTGCAGTGGGGGCCCCCAGATGCTCTCTCCTCTTTTCTCCTCTTCTCCTTCCTTTCTTCCTCCTCCTCCTCCTCTTCCTTCTTTCTCTCGCTCCCCCCCTCCCCAGTGCTGGGAATTGAACTCAGAACCTTGTACATTCTAGGCAATACTACTGCTGGGCTACCAACTTTTATGGATTAAATTAGTTGTTAGCATGAACACAAAGGATTTCTTTAAATAGAAGTGAAAAGGTCTTAGTTTTTCAGAGCCTCGGGAGCATTGGTGGTTCTGTTTCTTCTTCATTTTGTTTTTTTTTGGGGGGGGGGCGTGAGACAGGGTTTCCCTGTAGCCCCAGCTGGCCTAGAATTTGCTATGTACACCAGGTTCACCTCAGTCTCACAGAAATCTGCCTGCCTCCACCTCCGGGGTGTGGGATCCCGCGTACCACCTCACCTGGCTTTTTTTTTTTTTTTTTTTTTTCTTAACAACTTGCTTTTGATGACAGACCCAAGGCAAGACCACAGCCCCATCTTCCCACTCAGCCATCATACATCCACCTACAAGTTTTGCCACATTTCCAACCTATACCAAAGGATTCTCTCTTGTAACATCTTGTTTGAAGGAAAGAAGGATCCCTGAAAGAAGCTTGGGAAATTCCAAGCCAGCCCCAGCCACCTAAGGACAAGAGCACCAACAGCAGAGCCCTTTTGGTTCCAGAGAAATACCTTTTCCACAACAAGGAAGAAAACATTGACCTCCAACATTTGGTTTAAAAGGAAGAAACAGAGCAGTCATTCCCATGACTGTTTTTATCTTTTCAGTTTATCTTTCTGAGAATCAACCAGTTAAATTGAGGGAAGTGGTTTCACCAGTCAGGATGCCAGGCACTGAAGTGTCACAACGCCCCATAATTCTTGGGGAATAATGTTCAGGGGATTAGTGTTAGAAATTCAAAGAAACTTCTAACTGAATCCATATGGCGCTTCACTAATTCTGGAATGGCAAAGACAGCCTAGAAATTCAGGGTCACCTGGACAGAGAAGAGTATTTGAAAAGCGGCCAGAAAATTCCAGGTCTATACCAATCAAGAACTGTGGCCTTTCAAGGAATTGATACTCAGACTGTTTGCAATTAGACAGCCTGCCTTTGACTGGCAGTCTGTTACCATGCTCGGTTGCAACCCTGTGCAAGTACATATTATATGCACTATGGACCAAATTATGGGACCATCACCAAAAGGCTTTTAGAAGCCTGTGTTTTGGGCACTGGGTTGATTTAATCATGACCCAGTAGGTAGCAACACTGGGTGTATCACTCTGTGCTTACAAGAGAGTCCCACCAGCCTTTGAGCTCGTGGGTCAGGCGGCAATGTGTGCATATGTGGTAAATTACAGACAGGACCTCGACCATGTGCCTAGAAAATGAAATACCTCAGAAACAACTATGGGGGGATGATTGACAAGTTGCACAGCTTCAGCACCTCTAATGTTCTTTCTGCCAATAGCGGTGGTACACACCTGTCATCCCAGCACGCGAGATGGCTAAGGCAGAAGGATGCAGAGTTCTAGGCCCCAGCTTGGGGTTACATGGAGAGACATTGTCTCAAATAAAAACAGCAAAAAGCTCTTTCTGAGACTTTGGTAACAAAGTAAATAAATAAAAAGGAAAGAAAATAAAACTCGATAGTGGAATAATGCTGCTCCTTCAAGCCATATTAATTAAATATTAAATAAAGATGAAGTGTCTGGGATCAGAAACACTGGGCATCGGGTGGAGCAAGGACAGAATGGAACTGATTTTTTTCCTCTGGGTTATTTCAGGTCCGCAGAACCAGGAAGCCAATTTTGCTGAATGTAGAGAACTCAGATATTCAAAGCTGTACAAAGAAGCAGGGTGCATATGGACATGCCTTCTAAGGCAGAGTCCCGCTGCCTGGGAATCCTAAGAAGCTGTGAGCCCCCGGGGTGACCATCTGTCAAGATGGTGTGAAAGTTAGATTTCTACATGTGGTAAGGGAATGACTTTAACTCCAGGAGTCCTCCCAAAGTTTTGTCTTTTTCTTTATTTTGTTTTGTTTTGTTTTTTGATTGATCCCGAGTTTCATTATGTGCCTTGGACTAGCCTTGAACCCTTGGTAATCCCCTGCCTCTGCTCCCTGAGCTCACAGGCATGAGCTACTATGACCAACTCCAAATTTAGAATTCCATGAAAACCATGAGGAAGAAAGGGAGAGAACGGAAGCAATATGCCTGGTGCCCTTTGCTGTGGCCATTTCCCAGGCAGAGACCCCCCCTTGGGCTTTGCCCAGGCTACAGAAAAACAGTTTTGTTTCCTCCAGAGCAGTGCGCTCCTTTTCCACTGAGAGGCTCTGCCTCCCGTCCCAAAGCCACCCAGAACCAAGAAACAAGCCCACATCCCTGCTGGCCTCTGTGAAACCCTTCTTCGAGGCTGGAACTGGCCTTATTTTGTCTCCAGAAGGAATCAGAAAAAGGGTGATGAAACCAGCTAACCTTTCTCAAGGCCTGCGGGGGCCATTGGTCCTCTGGGCAGGGGGCTGTCCCTTACCTCGGGCAGACAGCCAGGGTCTTAGGCTGTGATCTACTCCAGGCTGGACCTTAATGGCTTTTTGCCAACTCCCAAGACAGTTTAATGCCTTCGAACAATGTAAAATTGGGGGGGGGTTCTCTGACTGGGGTGCCAGACCGGATGTCCAGCAGCCCTGGACAGCACTCGGCCCCCGCCCTATTCTGCAGACTGGGTGGAACTGGATCCGACAGAGGGTGGGAGGCCACAGGGGGAAAATAGGCTCCTGTTCCAGGATTGTCAAAAAATTTCTGCTGAAGCCCAGAAAAACTCAAAGCTGGGGGGGAGGGGGGAGGCTCTCGCTTCCTGGAGGAAGAGCAGAGAGCAGGAATCATAGCGGTTTTTTTTTTTAATTTGCCCCCCACTCCACAGTGGGCGGGAAGCACAGAACACTCATATTACAATGGGATTTGAACCAGCTACACAGATCGTACAATAGGTTCTGGTTTACACCTTCCCTTCGGATTCTCCTTTTGCAGACTGGCTCAGGGCTTCCCTGGTTCACACCCACGCAGTCGGTCTGGAGGTAATAAACATTAGAAGCAAAAGGAGTTGTTCCCGAAGTCTTGAGAAGTTACCCTAGCTCTTACTTAATCACCCCCTGGGGGGCAGTTTTACAAGGGCTGCCTGCTCAACACACAGGCTGGTTTTTTCTCTCCCAACCAGCAGCCTGCTTTTCTAAAGGAAAGGTCTCACTTCATCAGGCAAGCTGGATCGTGTCACTCTCTCCAATCTTGTTTATGTGAGGAAAAAAACATACCAGTATCTGTGTTGAAATGAGCCACGCCTTCACAAACACTTAACCAAAATGCTAACCTAATAAAAACAAAAGCAAACAGATCCAGCACCTTCTTCATTTCCCTGGACTCACTTCATGCTTAGCACGTGCCTTTGTATTTCTACAATATTTGCGGGGGAAAGCAATAAGATAAATGTTCTCAAATGTCCACTGCCACGCTGGAAAATTCCACCTCCACTTAGAAAATTCTTTAATCGTTTTTGATAGATCACCTTTTTACTTAGCACTGAAAGCAGCTGGTTGGGGTAGAAACTTGAAGCCATGCAACAGTTTTTACGAGAACCCCAGCAGTCCTCCGGGCCCCTACCCTCTTCCTCCCCCCACCCACCTCCACATCTGGCCCTGGATTCTGGAATCTCTCCATTCCACCCAAGCAATCCCTCCCACGTTTTATTTGAAACACCCTTTGCCTCTCTCTCCCTCTCTGTTTCTCTAACGGTTCTCTTTAAACAAACCAATCCCCTCTTCCCATCCTGTGAGAATGTGTGTGTGTGTGTGTGTGTGTGTGTGTGTGTGTGTGTGTGTGGAGAGAGAGAGAGAGAGAGAGACTTAAACAGAAGTGCACAGATAAGCAAAGGGGCAGTAAAAGCAACAGCAGCAAAAATAAACCGAAAACCAGATAGTTATCCTCAATCACCCCCAAAATAAAAGACCAACAAACACAGCACAAAGCAAACAATTCAGAGATTGCCAACTGAAAACTGCATAGAAATAAAGAGGAAAATCTTAATATCTTCCTAAGTTACTATACTTCTGGATTTCATTTCGAAGCACTTTGAATCGAAGCAGAAGAGATAAAACATCTGGCAAGTTTGCTCTACCATTTCAAAGGCATGTTGTTTCCTCCATAAAGAATATTCCACTTGGGTGTGTTCCAAAGTCCCTTCTCCTTTCCCAGCCTCAGAGCACAAACCCACTCAGATACGAGCAAGAGAAAGTGATTACAGCCAGGTCCCGCTCACGTACCCAGATCCCTCCACAAAATATAGTTTTTCAGAACTTTGAGGAGAAAGAATTAGTCTCTACTTTTCAGCTAAAAGTTTCAAGGACTTGATTCTTTGAGAGTCACTGGAAAGGAGAGACAGAGAGGGAGGGAGAGAGAGACTGAGAGAGACTTAAACCAAAAGCTGCAGAGGTCTCCCAGCAGGGAGCGGACCTACCTACCTGGAAGAAGGTCCAGTGGCAGATGCCCTAATGATGAGTGACCTGAGCTAGTGGCGGCTCTGGTCCGCTCTTCTGGAAGTATATGACAGCAGTGACGGAAGGCACCCGCTTCCCGAGGTTATAAGTTTCCTACCCTGGTGTGCTGGGGTGTGTGATGGGCGGTTTCTTTTCCCTGTGTTTTAAAGGAGTTTCTATGAATCAGTCTGGCTTTAAAAAAAAAAAAAAAAAAAAAAAAATGTTGGTAAGCTACGCCCTGCTAAATTGGCAGTCAGTCAGAAGTGGCTGGGAGTGAGCCATCAATTCAAAGAACCCTGTTGTAGCTCCCTCTGACTCAGACACACAGACCGCAGTGGAAAAAGGAGTGACATTGCTTCAAATGAGTAATAGGACTCACACAAATAGATCTGTTTACTGAAGCCCATTCCTCCTCCCCAGAAAGGGGACTTGGTTGCCATGGGTGTAAGTCAAAAGGCAGGTTAGGGTCAGGAGGGGAAGGAGGAGGGAAGTGAGGCAGAATTAAAACCCCAGCTAATCATCAAGCAGGATTCCCGTTCTTCCTCCCTCATCACAAGTATCGGCTGCTGCTCACTACCAGGAATGATCTGACTAGTTTCTCATTAACGTCCCTGACTGATCCTCGTGGGTCGTGTCTGGTGGGTGGCTGTGGGAGACTGTGGGATGAGGCCCACAATGCAGAAAGGCACCCAGCAAGCTCTAAATGGAGCATACAGAGCAGGCAATCCCTGGTCTTTACATGCCCTCACCCTTATGGATTGCACATTTCCAGGGGAAATCTTTGAGTTAAGGACTTTACTCTCTGATCTTCATGTAATAATCATTTGGACCTTGTTCCACAATTGACTTTCCTGAACCCAGCCAGTAGCCTGATCATCTGATCATCGCAGCCTCCTCCCTGCTCCACACCTCTTTTAATCTTGGATTCGGGAGTGGGAGGTTTTAGAGTTATCTAATCCCACAGCCCATGCATCCTACAGACCAGGTTCCATCGTGAGTGTCTACACTGCAAGAGCCCCCTCTGTGACTTGGGGCAAAGCCCTTACCCTCTCCCTTTCTTCTGCCTTGTGCATATAATGGAGACAGTAGGTGCCTAGCACACAGTTACGGCAAGAAACACATGCATGAGCCACACATGTAATTCCAACACTTGGGAGGCTGAGGCAGAGGATCACTATGAGTTCTAAGCAAGCTTGGGCTACAGAGACTCCATTGAGAGAGAGAGAGAGAGAGAGAGAGAGAGAGAGAGAGAGAGAACAAGCATGTAAATGGGGTGATGGTATATACCTAAAAATGCTAGCACTTGGTAGGTAGAGACAGGAGGATCACAGATTCAAGGTCATTTGCTACTTAGCGAGTTCAAAGCCTGACTGAGATACAAGAGACCTTGTATAAAGAAAGTTTATAATTACAATATTGTACATAGTAGTCAATCAATATTATTACAATGATTACTTCACTGAAGAAGTTCAGACAAAGGAGCAACTACTCAAAGGAGATGCAGTAAGTTGCATTACCAGCCAAACCCGAGCAACCCTGTTTCTACCGTTCTTACTGAATCCTGACAATGTCTTTCAATCCAATGTATGCTGTTATTTATTCACTTAGCATTTAGATGCTGTGTGCCAACCTTCCCTAGGCCCTGATAAGAGAACTGGGTCACAGAGGTGGAATAGATCCTCACCCTCTTTGATCTTATATTCCACAGAAAATATAGAAAATCATGAGTGGCAGTTCAACAGAACGTTGATAAAATCAGGTGGTAAAAAACCGTAAATGAATCTTAGTGGCTCTTGGTCACATTGCTGTATTTTTTGGGTGGGTAGAGGGGGTAGAGGGAGGTTATGCTCTTATAGAAAAGAAGATAATATTTTAAGTGGATAATTGAGGAAACCCCCATACACACAGAGACACACACAGAGATGGACATACAGAGACACAGAGACACACACAAATACACATACACATAGGCATACACAAATATACACACAGAGAGATGTTCACAGATACACACACACACACACACACACACAGATTTGATATTGCCTCTTCACAAGTTGCTAAGAATGGAATTCTATCCCTGCAGAGATAAAACAATCCAGATTTTTCATTAAAAACTGATGATGTGACAAAGATTGCATCGGTTTCTCATGCATTTCCTCACCTCCCCCTTTCTGCCATCACTCATTTGCTAATAAACACTCCTGCCTCTGAGCTGCCACTCCCAGCAGTAGGCTGGGGCCCCTGAGAGCTGTGTAGCCTGACCCTGGGGGAGAAGGTGTCTGGTGAGCCCTGAAGCCTCCAAGCCTTCCGGGTGGGTTTCCCTAAGCCCACTGCCTTCCCCCAGCAGAGTGTGAGGTGGCTGCCAGGGGCAGAGTCCTGAGACTCTCAGGAGTATGCGGAGGGGTTACATTTTTAAAAAGAGAAACCTGGGGTCAGGGACTATCAGAAGGAAGGCATTCTCTCTCCCGCACTCCTCTCTGTGTTAACAAAGGAAAACCCAGAAACTTTGCTTAAAACTTGAGTAGAGAAGAGTTAGGTTTTTCTGGATTCCCACACTGGATTCCAGTGCCAGTGGACAGAGGGAGAGGCTCTGAAAGCAGAACCCAGAAAGTAGGAGTTCTAGTTTTTCTTCTTCTACTACCTGGCAGTGGAGGGACCCAGAAATCTGCCTCCTGCCTCTCAGCCGTAAAGTAAGTAGATGTCGTAGCCTTCCAATGGACTTAATTAAATCTCACTGTCCTACGTGCTTGGAGATGTTTTGATTTGGAGAGAAAATATTAAATGTGTTGAGTACTGAGAGAGAGAGAGAGAGAGAGAGAGAGAGAGAGAGAGAGAGAGGGATTTGTGCTGATCTATTGATCTATTTTAAAGATAAATGCCCACCCAGGACACCTCAGAATTAGCCCTTGACTATCACTGAGCTCATTTTATAAAATAATGGATGTGCTTAGATATTGAGACTGGACTGAAGATATGGCTCAATAGGTAGAGTGCTCACCCAGTATAGATGAATCCTGGGTTCTATCGCCAGCACCAGATAAAACTGAGCATCATGATGCATTATCTATAATCCTAGCACTTGGGAGATGGAGGCAGGAGGATGAGAAGTTCAAGGTCATCCTCTAATACATATGAGCTAGAGGCTAGTTTGGGATACAAGAGACTCTGCTTTAAAAAAAAAAAACTGAAGCATTACATTTGATTCTTTTCATAGTCATGTGTATACAGCCGTGACTTTAGATAGTTAGAGTCAAGGATCTAAAGCCCGTGAGTAAGGTTGTCTCACCCTGGCTTCTACGGGGTCATTCCAAGCAATTTGGAATAATCTCCTTTCTCTACTCTGCTCCTATTTCTCCCACTTGGAAGGTGAATTAGGAATGTTCATTTCTCACAGAGGCAAAGAGCCAGGCATGGTTTCACTGGACCTCAGTAAAACCCTGTATTCTGGGGAAGGAATGTCCCCTCTTGCCCAGTGAAACAGTGTTACATTGGCACAGGGGCACATTCCCTCTTTCTGAAGATACAAGAATCTACTTCTGGCTTGATGCCCTTTAGGGCACATGTTCAAGTCTGTGCTGGTGTAAACACTCTTAAATGGATACGTCAATCAGAGGTTTCCAATGTCTGATATGGGGAGAAGTCAGCTAAGGGAGGTCTGGCCCCCTACAGCTCACGGAGAAGAAAACTAAAGTAGTTTGATCTTAGTTTTGCTCAAATTCAGTCAAAAAGAATCCTAATCTCCACAACAGGTCCCCAGGGGTATTATACATTTAGGGGATGTGACTGTTAATATTAGATGACACTGTCTAAAGCTAAATAGATTGAAAACATACTTAGACAGTTTTGTCCAAAGTCAAATGAGTTCCTGCCATTCCTCTTTGGAATTTGAGAATTTAGCAACAATTCTCTTTTTCTTCGTCTGCTGCATGTACAAGACCCATGCAAACTCCTTTTGCTGTTTTCTGCAGCCATCCTCTTCGGTTTCCCTGGGCTCTTTTCTCCCTGCTTTTTTCCCTGGGCTCTTTTCTCCCTGCTTTTTTTTTTTTTTTTTTTTTTTTTTTTTTTTTTTTTTGTCTCCCCTCCCTGCAAATGTCATTTTAATATAGCTTCATAAAGCGAGACGTCTCTAAAATCCCCTCCGTGTCTCCATTTCTTGTCTCTAAGCTAATCTGTGCTGAAATTGCTAGGGAAAGTTAATATGGATGAAATTTTAAGAGGGCTCCAAGTGCCTGAACCTCCAGCTGAGCCAAGGGGACCTGACTGCTGACAAAGTGGTAGTTGTAGTTACAGAAGAGAGATGGCTGGGTGGACGAGAACATCTGACCCTGGCAGGAGAGACGTCCAACCTTGCTGTACAGAACAGCTGTCAGATTGGTACCAATCATTGTCATCAGTTTCTTTGGGCAATGGGGATGTATGTCTATGGAACACACTTCCTGAGGTTCATTCCCTGAGGGCATAACTCTACAGCCTGCAAATAGCAAACACGGGAATAAGAAACGAAATATAGGGGCTGGAGAGATGGCTCAGTATTTCTATTAGCTACTTTCCTGTTGCCGTGATAAAACACTGTGACCAGGAGAAGTAATCCAAGGAAGAGTTTATTTGAGCTTAGGGTTCCAGGGGAATTAGAGTTCATCATGGCGGGGAGGCATGGTGGCAGAGGTGGCTGGTCTAGGAGTAAAAGCTAAGCACTTATATCTTCAAGTAGGCAAGGGAACCAGGGGGTGACTGGAAATCTGCCAAGGCTTAAGAACTCTCTAAGCCCACCCCCAGTGATGTGCTTCCTCCAGCAGGGCCACACCTTCTAAGACCTCCCAAAACAGCTCCACCGACTATGGACAAAATGTTCAAATACTTGGAGTCTGTGGGAGACATTCTCATTCAAACCACCACAGTGGTTAAGAACACTGACTGCTCTTGCAAAGGATCTGAGTTTTGTTACCAGCACGCACATGGCAGTTAATAACTGTCTATAACTCCAGTTCAAGGGAATCTATCACCCTCTTCTGACCTCCGTGGGCATCGCACACACGTGGTACACTTAAATATATGTAAGCAATACACTCATACACAGAAAATAAAAATAAGTCCATCAAAAACATTTTTAAAAGAAACAAAGTACACTATTGAAGCAAAAT